TTATTTACTACAAAATATTTTGTGTTATCTGCCATACTTTCAATTTTGCATTGGAAACTAATGGCAGCTAAATAAAGTTCTGCCGATTTAAAGCTAAAGTCCGGCAGTGATAAACGCGACATACATTGTTAATTTCTAAATTGATTGGCCATACCTCTGACAAGCCATAATTAGGTCTAAATTTGTAAAATGCATTCAGCCTTGTCTTGTATGTTTTAATTTTATTTGGCGCTAAAGATTCCTTTAACAATATTCAAGCCTCAATATGGAGATCATTAACTGAAACTGACGTGGTATTACCACTGGGTCCTTGGTTGCCCTTGGTTCTACTTGACGAAACGGTCCCTCTGTCGTCGAGAAATAGCATCAGCTGTATTTGTGTGGTTGGAAAATATGTGAAGTGCTTTGAAAAGAAAACTTTCTTCCATGCACTTTTGTTCAAAATATTTGACGAGTTGCATTAATCTTTTTGACCTAGAGGTTTGACAATTGAACACCCTAAGCAAAGCCTCATTGTCAATATGCATTATATTTTTTTTACCTTTATTTATTATTTTTACTTGTTTCCCCATATATGAATGGCTAATACTACTGGTACCATTTCCAGAAATATAATATCTCTCATAACTGGCGGAAACACCATTCCCCCTCCAAAAAAGAAAGGAAAAATGCTCCTAGCATGTCTGACCCTGCATCATCTTTAAATAGCTGCAGTTCATCACTACTAAACCATTTGTTTTCTTGTATGTAAGTTACCCCATTTAAATCCTTGAAAATGTCTGCCAAACCTTCAGATCCTCCATTATTTCTCGTGATATTCTAAGCATATAGTAAGGTTTCCTTCTAGGAATAATTGCATCATAGAACCGTTGAAGAAATGCTCGACTGGACCTAACTGCTTGTCCGAAAATATTTAATTTTCCCAGTTATCTTTGTCATTCACGTAACGATATTTTCTTCCTTTTAACTACATGAACTATAGTTGATATTCATTTGGACAATTCTTAAATTTTTTTGACTATGGATTCGGACCATTAATTTGGACATATCAATTTCTAAGCCTAAGAACACCATTACTATAGTTGGACTTTTCATAAGCTATAGGGGTGCCTAGTTCCACACAAACCTGTTCAAATGTTGATACTAAATCCTGGAATGTATGGGTGCATTGACTGCCAGCCATGATTAAATCATCCGGGAGTCGATCGTTTGAGCTTGCTTTTGCCTTCTTGATGGCAGGGCCGTTAAGGAAAGAAGAACATGTTTGCACTTTGGCTTAACCCCATTTATCAATGTAATAGTAGCATTTTCCTTCTACTCTTATTGGCAGAACCCTATATGCTGATTTAAGGTTTTGCAATGAACAATGAATCACCCAAATCGTAAGTCGTTGCAATTACATTATCAAACATTGTGTATTTTACCGAACAAAACTGGCTGTCAATGCCATCCTTAATACTTGATCCATGAAGGTATGATAAATGAGAGGTCATTCTCCAACCCCCATCAGACTTCGGCAATATTCCTACTGGAGAGATACTTAGATTATCATATGGAGGTTTATCAAATTACCCAGCAATCCTACCAAGTGCTAATCCTCTATTTTCTTTTTCCTGCAGTTGTTTTTTATGTTCTTAAGCAGCAGATTTAAGAGTTTGACATTCACATGCAACTCTTGGTCCATTGTACTCAATTTTGAAACCAATCTTAAACTCATTAGCTAAAATATTGGCATCTATACAATTCTCATAATGCTGCAAGTATTTTGCTAGTATTTGAAATTTAACTGGTGAGGTACCTAAATGTAAACATGTTGAAGTTTAAGCATCGATTGCAATTCGAATCTTGGTGTATTAGAGGGACGCGGGGCATAAATAGTTGCCTGCTCGACCAGCGTTGCACCTGTTGTTGTGGCATGAATGCCGCTTTAGGTCACATTGGTCGCTGTGCCCCCATGTTTGGGTACTAGTATGTCTGCCTCCTGCATTATCTAACTGTGTGATTTCTACTACAATTTAAAAAGACATGACGGTAAGTGCAATCCAATTTTGTGCAAAAGCGGTAATTGAAGTCATAGCATTTTTGTCCCCCGTCGATATAGCTATTGCACTTGGACCCATACACAATATCCATAGCTCTTCATATAAACCCCAAATGACATGTTCGAGTTTGACCATAGCCTCAACCAAAAATGAGAGTAATAAAAACTCTGCAACCCTGAACCTAAATGAAGCTTAGCTGCTGTCCTAATACTAAATACTTGCTCGAGTTTCTGTGGGGTAAGCGCTTAGATATATGCTTGAAAATACTTAAAATGCATCAGACCATTACTCTATAGTATTAATGTTCTTGGTGTTTGATGGGGCCATTACTTATTGACCAGCTCCGTTTATAACAAGTTTCGCCAATTTTTCGTCTTGTGGAATGGCGCTATTGTTACAACTAGGCAATAATGTAGCCATTTCTAAATATTGTATAATATTTTTTTTATATTTTGGGGGACAAACACCCCTAGCATAGATTTGACACTTAGAATAGGTTGTACATTACCTTGTTTGTTTGCCAGTTGGAAGGTTTGATCAAACCACTGTTGACTCATATCAGCTGGTGGTGGTATGGTTGTCCTGGGATGTGGTGTAGGATCCCTGGGCGATGGTGTAGGTGCCCTTGGAGGAGGTGTAGGTGGCTTAAGAGGTTGTGTTGTATTTGACCTTTGTTGGTGCTCTTGGCGGTGGCTAAGGGACCCAACGTAGTGCGGGAGAGCTTTGCATTGGTCACCTTTTCTGTTTTCTGCCTGTCATCATGGTCCTCTAGTCTGTTTTCCGCTTTCTTGTAGAGCGTCTCATCTTCTCTTGATTATGAAACCGTAAAATATCAAGTTCCATTAAAATGGGATTTGAAATATTAAAACTACTTGTAAACTTCAATTTACATTTCATATAAGTTACCTTGTCCTATCCAAACCGTTTACTATTGTGAAACGTATTCCCTGTTAGGGATTTTTTTAATTTGATTTTAAATTGTCGATATTGGGTCAAATCCACAATTAAAAATTGTAAATTATTTTCCCAATCCACAGGAATCACTTCCAAATTTAAGGTTACAAAATAAAAATATTGAATAAAAAAAATTAGGGTTTCTTCACTCTTATAGTGCTTAGGTGATCAAAAACTTATCTTAAATAGCGATTGTTTTCATTAATTGTATCACTTTAAATTCAATGTCATGTATTAATTCCTAACAAGGTTGACAAGAGTTTTCCCTTGTTTAGATTTGTAATGGATCAAAAACCCTTAACATTTCAGCTTTTCGGATCAAAATCTGGAAACAAAGTGATCCCTTTGGAAGCATTAATCACAACAAATTTATATGAAAATTGAGACTCGGTTTGATTGAGTCTGTACATGAGGGATAATGAATAAGTGCAACATCCCTTACGCCCCAAGCACCGGCTTGAGAGGCACTCAATTCTCAACACTTAATAGTGCTGGAATCAATGATCCCGAAGGACCAGAAAAATATATGTGTTGTAAGATCCATGTGTTGTATATACACATTCAAAATGTATTCGCTACTTTTATGCCTTCTCTTATGTAATTTATGTAGATACCTTGATTTTAAATTTACCAGACAAACCACGTGGAGACCTACGGTGAGTGCCAAATTGCTTAACATATTTTCTTGTCCAGCCGCTTAGTGCATAATATCTACTCTAGAGAAGTTTAATTATACCCAAAACCAAAATAATGCAACTTATAATGCATTACAGTTATAACTAAAACCTGATTGGTTTTTATGCGACAGAAATTTAACTTGCCTCTCCTGTTGCTGGAAATTTCTGAAAGAACGGTGCTCGTGAAAATATCCCTTGTGTAATTATTACACCAATATCTCAAGGGACAAGACCACTTTATTCAATTTTCTATAAAGGTTGTGTTTCACACTCTGCTACCATAAGCCTTTCATTAGTTATTTTATTTCATTGATTAATACTTGACGTACTCATTTCCCCCCAAACAAACAGGTGTTATGTTCATTACATAACCCCCTTATATTTGTGGATGGTTTATAAATAACAATTATTAAACAATTGTTTTCCTATGATCCGTTGTCATTCATTCCTTTGTGTTTATATTGACAAGTAGATATTCAGTATTTGTGCATGTTTGTATTCTGTAAATCCAGTATTTTTCGCGATGTTTTGATTTTCGCTATTACTTGCGAATCGGCTGCGTCGCGAATTCATGATGCCGCGTAAATTTAATAGCAAAACATACACTATAATCTGATGATTAATTGTGATAAAGTTTGATAATGAATACAATAACTGAATACAAAATAATTATTATTATGTGTAATTTTTATTTACATCATATACAATAAAGATATGAAGGTTTAACAAAAGACTTTCCCATTCCGTTATCCTCAGAAATACATGCATATCAAACACAAATGACAATATACAAACATTTTGCACTTACAGACAAATGTGAAGACATATTGTTTAGATAACAATAGATTTACGATAAAACAGTGATCAACGGACAATTTTATACGGTAGATTAAGCGGATTATAAACACGTATATTACACCTTCTTACAAAATATGTCTTATGTCAGAATATATTGAGTATTTGTCAGAATGAAAATTGCAATGTTTTTGTTCAATCGATATTATAACAAAACGCAAAAGCAAACACAGTACTGTTCTTTTCTTTCCATGCCTACTTATTTTGAAAGAAGTAATTTTCCCGATGTTTTGACTGTTCAAAGCGCTGGTAAAAGACCATTGCTGATATCTTAATCGAGAGATATGCCATGATTTATATGATAAATTCCAACAACTATTTTGTATGTGAACTAACTTCATTAAAGTTAATACGCACGAACTAACACAATGTTCGGTAAAAATATTTCAGTCATAATGTTAAAATATAATTATCTATATATTTTATCACAAGCAAACATAGCTAATGTTATACTACATTTGATGTATTTCAGTGTCTCTTCAACCAAAGGTTGTGTATAAACCAACTGAGTTTCCATACTCAAAATGTTCTGAAAATGGTGCGAACAGAGTGAATTGTGAAAAGCTTAATATGAGTAATGGTAAGTAATATAGCTAAAATGAGAACGTTATCCCCGCATGCATTGGTTTTGTTTCTGATATATTTGAACACTTTTACAGTTACGATGCAGAAGATCAGAAAATGTTATAATTCAGTTTTACGAATTTCTAAGTCACTTTCGTTTAATGTATTTTCCAAAATACAAACTTCACTTTGAACTACATGTTACTATCAGAATTGATCGTACTGACAGTCATTTTTAACAATCCCTTTTCTTGCGTCAATGATATGCATTTCAAACCTGAACTACGAGGGGCATATTGTAATTAGTGACAACCAACGGCAGCATGTTTTGATTAAGAAGTCATACCTTTGAAAAATTATTATAAGCGTCCTTCATTTATTCACCATGGACCTCTACACACTTTTCCAACACCAGAATCCATTCCAAAAAAGTATTTCTGAACTGTTCTTTAGGTACTAGTATACTGTTATTGCACTGTTTGCGAGCGTTTCCGACGGGACATTTGGTTTCGAATCGAATGCAAGATTTCATGTTTTGATTCAACCAAAAGTCACAAAGAGGGAGGAAATTGTTTTAAATTGTCTTTTCCTCTTCATAAACTTATCTTCTCTACAGTATATCTTGCATCTTCATAAACTATGGCTTTTACAGTTCTGATGTTTTTTAAGGTCACCTGAGCTAGCTCGGGGTGAGCTTTTAGGATCGTTGATCTTTGAATGTCCGTCGTCCTACGTCCGTCCACACTTGTTCGTTAACACCGTAGCGGTCACATTTTTGCCTCAATCATCATTAAACTTTGTCAGGATGCTTATCTAGGTAAAGATGAGTTGTTCGAACATGGGTCATCTCGGATGGAAAACTAGGTCACATAAGCTTAAAAAAGAGAAACATTGTTAACACTCTAGCGGTTACACTTTTGCCTCAATCATCATTAGACTTTGTCAAGATGCTTGTGTAGGTGATAGCTCAGAAGAGTTTGAACATGGGTCATTTCGAATGAAAAACTAGGTCACAGGAGCAAAAAAATAGAGAAAACCTTGTTAACACTCTAGTGGTCACATTTTTGACTCAATCATCATCAAACTTGGTCAGAATGCTTGTCTAGGTATTTGCGTAGACCTGTTCGAACATGGGTTATCTCGAATGATAAAACTAGGTCACCGGAGCTAAAACTAGCAAAACCTTCTTAACACTCTAGTGATCACATTGTTGACTCAATTATCATCAAACTTCGCGAAGATGCTTGACTAGGTAATTGTTTGGATGACTTTGAACATGGGTTATCTCGTATGAAAAACTAGGCCACAGGAGCTAAAAATAGAAATATATTGTTAACACTCTAGTGGCTACTGTTTTGATTCAAATATCTTGGAAATTGGTCTGACACTTTGTTTTGATGATGTCTAAGTAAAGTTTGAATATGGGTCACCTTTGGTAAAAAATATTAGGTCACACCGACCAAATATGGAAAAACCTTGTTAGCATTCAGTGGTCACATTTTATTACTCAATTATTATCAAACTTGGTCAGGATACTTATGTAGGCAATGGCTCGGATGAGTTTGAACATGGGTAATCTCGGATGAAAAACTAGGTCACGAGCTAAAAATAGAAAAGTCTTTTTAACACTATAGTGGCTATTGTGTTGATCCAAGTATCCTGTAAATTAGTCTGAAAGTTTGTTTTGATGGTTTCTAAGATAAGTTTGAATATTGGTCACCTAGCGTCAAAAAGTCAGTAACACTGCTCAAATGTAGATAATCCTTGTTAACACTCTATCGGTCACCTTTTTGACTCACTTGTCATGAAACCTGATTAGAATGCTTGTCTAGGTAATTATTTGGATGAGTTGAATGGGTCAGGTGAGCGATCTAGGGCCATCTTGGCGGTCTTGTTTTCAGAGTAAGCGAAATTTGGCGCCTAAAACGTTGATCATCCTTAACATTTGTTCTACCTTCCTTAAACATTTACACCCACCTGGCAATTGTACGATATGGAACATAAACTAAATCAAGATCCTTTTTTATTTCTGACGCGCAATTGCCGAATAACCCACACATTTTGCAATGAGCTCTTTGCTCCTTCATATCACAACACAACTCAGCCATGTTTACAACTAGTTTACAAAACCACATTTATTTACATGATTTGCTAGAAATTCTATTAATCGTGCGAAATAGACTTTTAGTTAGCAAATACCAATACTTATTTTCAACTGTATATTATACATGCACTTTCGCGTGCAAATCATTGTGCAATAGAATTGTTGCCACTAATTAAACTATACCCCTCGTACTTGTTCAATATAAAGTGCATGCAATTCTGCTTTGCATATTAGCAGATTATGTTCTTATTTCTTCTTTAATATAATTTGTTTGTATTGTCAAGAAATTAGAACAAACTAGACATGTTGAACGCGGAGTGATCCTTTGATTCATAATCCATCGAGTAATGATTGCATGTTTATATTAATTATGCTGCAGAGATTTGAACGCTAAATTTATGGTTTTTGTCATAAATGATGTAGAGCTTTGAGTCAAAGAAATTAACATACAAGTCGGTGTTGGTGTCAGTGTTACTTTTTAAAGTACGCTGAATTGAATTTGTCAATATCCGAGTATTTAAAATATGCTTCAGAAAATGTCTTTATATTTTAAATATGCTAAAGAAAATGTCATTGAACAACATATTTGCTAAAGTTAATGTCCATTCCATGTTATTTTTAACACAATGTCATTGTACTAATCATATGAAGTTAAAAGCGACTCCACTGAGTTATTTTTATTTGACTTTACTGGAAACAATTTTACAAGATTAATGTTCCATTTAATGTAGGTATAGACTTAGAACTTGTATACACAATTTCAGATCATTTGCAAACTACAGTTTCCTAGAATAATTATTTTGTTTGCTAAATATGACCTAAAATTGAAAAGAAAATGCAACCCTTTTCACTTAAATCGGACTAAGAATAACACAAAAATACGATTTTCATTTAATTGGGAATATATTTCTTAATTTTTTTCTGTTATCGTTCTGTCAATTGTCATAGTGATATTATACAGTTTGAAGGTTCCTAGATATAACGTTGCTACTCTTCTGTTATTGTTTTCTTTTATTAAAAGTATTTTTTCAACCGCATAATACATCATATATTCAACGATCAAGCTTCTTCTATTTTGACCGATGTAACAACCGTATTTTACACAGACAAACAACTTTTCAAATGGTTTTCATTTTTTGTATATATTTTGAATTCCATTATTTATTCTTAAGTCTCAAAAGTATTGATTTTCTTTTCAGCAAGTTGAATATATAATTTTTGAAATGATAAGTTTGACTTTCAGTAACATATTTAACTTTAACGGGTTATAAGCAAAGTTATATAATGCCACCCTACATTAAAAATCCCTTGTTACACCAAGATCTGTCAGTAATGTGTAATGACTTTGATATATATGGAGGCAAATAAAACATTTAAATGTTTTCCACTAAATAATTCTGTTTATTAATAAACGGAACCGATTAGGTAGATTGTATTTTTATCGAAGGGCAAAGAATTGTGAACTCGTCCAAAAATAACATATATGTCCTATCTGATATTTGAGGATCTTCCTATTTTATCTATTAACATTTTCGAGCGACTGATGACTAATGGTAGAACTAATTAATATCAACTCTGGCATTTCATTAAAGTTATAAGATAAAAGAAATGACATATCGCTTCCTGTTATTACGCCTCTCCTGTATCACCCAACCCTATGAAACACTAATAAACAGGCAATCTAGCTCCACATATTCTCTATGAACATCTCCTTAGAGATTGAATAGAGCAAAATAGAATCCCCAAAGAACGTCCTATCGGCAAAATTAGAAATGTTTCAGGCTCGGTTTGATGGATTTTTCCCCAATAAATGCTATATTAACAGCTTAACAAACAAATGTGTTATTAGTTAATACAATGTATAGAATAAAACAACCGGCCAACAATATAATGTTACAGCAGCTGAAATGTTTCATTTTATTAACGTCACGAAAATTAAGCCAGAATATACGGTACAAACTTAAATTATAAAACTAGTTTTTCGTTTTTTATGATGCATTTTCACGTACATTTAATTCATTTTTTTGTGGACAGTGGAATTGCAGCATTTTCAGAATTATGCCCATTGCTAGTACTCATGGCAGCCGCCACAAAACATATCTATAGATGTTAATGAATTCTTTTTATTTCTACTGTAATTAATAAAATATTCTGCAATCGGTGCTTGGAGCATGGAGGGAACATTGCATTAACAATTGCCGCCCATCAACAAGCACATAATTAACTTACTACAATAAAGTGTCTTAAATTTATCCATGTTTGACACGCTTTAAGGTTTTTATTTCTTGTAATTGACATTCTTTTCATGCAAACAATGAAATCTCCAAGCGTTGTTTACTTGATCAAACATAGATGATAAGTATAATGACTTATGAAGTGTCCTTATGACAAATTAATCAGACATTTAATTAATAATGTGACATTTGGGGTAATGAAGAGTAAATCATATATTTGTTTCGGTGAATATTTTTGAAAATTAAAACAAAAATCATTTACGCAAAAAAAACACTTATTACAAAACCGACAATAACATCAAATCGACAAATAAAATAAAATGAACCCTTTCTCCTCCTGGTCCGTGTGATTTTATTGTCGGATATTGATATACCGTTCATCTAAGCAAATTCAAAGACAATTTGACAATTTGAAACTTTTACAATTTCCTGCTAGTAGTATGTATGTTATATTGCAATCTTAGTCATATATCATTGTACAGCTATTTGTTAAATGACTATGCCAAAATTGACATTTGGAATTAACCTACCGTTGTTTAATTGCCGAAACCTGAAAAACTGCAAGATCCTGGTAGAGGGTAAATTTAAAATATGACTAACGCATTTTTACAAATTATTTATTACCCATTAATTTTACAGAATTTATTGACAACATAATGAAAAATAGAAATACCTAAATATATATGAGAGCCCAGTGTTGCAAAAACTTGAGTTATTTTTAATCCATTCGCTCAAAATGTGCAATGTTGCAAACAAGTGTGTTTTACGACATTAAATTAAAAAAATGAAAACCAAAGAAAAAGTTTTTAGCACTTTTGCCTTTGATACAGTCATAATAAAAGCAATATTAAACTATTGTCAACACAAAATGATCGAATTGATTGATTTATAAAATATACAAATAAAAAGTTAATATATACCGAAGAGATTCTTTTAGCTGAGATTTAAATAATTGAGTTACTTTACATTTTACATAAAACATTCCTTTGTTTAATTTGTTGAATTTTTCAAGAATTTAATTGGTTATGTAATTCACATTTTAAAATTTTGAAACATAGTCATAGGAATATTATTATAGGTAAACTTGCTACAAATTAGTTTAACCATTTCTTTCTTAAGATGACTGTGACTAGAAGGACCAGACATTTTGCTTTGTTTATAAATTTATTTTGATTTTTTTTTTTAATTTTAAAATATCTGCATTTTTTTCTGTTCACAGATAGACAAGAGAAAGAGAGCATGTGGCCACCAGGGCCATACGCAATACCAATGTGTAAATATGGCTGTCCGGAATCACAGTCTCGGGGATGGTCGAAAAGCAATTTAAAGGTCAAGATGGTAGAATTTAGTAAAAATTCAGAAAGTGTCTCTACAGTGTTGGATAGGAATTGGGACCCCAATTCCTCATTCATAAACGATGACTATTTTAAACCGGCGCATCGTAAAGAAAATTGGACGCATCTTTATTTTTGCGTGAAATTCCGTAATGACACTGCACTTGATAAAGAACAATGGATTCCAGGAAACTACAGCATTTACAAGATCGGATCTTCATGTCCCACGGGTATATATCAATGCTTGTATACTGGAAAAAACATTATGTTCTGATAAAACTGATTCTCGCGTGGGCAATATGAATCAAACTTTCCAATATATCTCATGAATATATTCAGTCTATTTTGTTTCTGCGATTTTCATATAATCTTTATTTTTCTAATCTGGCATCAAATATCTTTAGGTTTTATGTTTATATATCACTTCCATCATATTCCATCAATGTAACATTTGAGCTGATATGTTTATCAGTATAGGTACTTGAAAATGCAGAAATATCTGATATGCTGTACATCCAATAATACAACGGTATCTTTGTATCATGATTTTTCTAGAATTTGAAGAATCCACAAGAACATTTCCTGTCACTGAATTTGTGTCGCATGGTCAGGTTCCAGATTTTGCAGTGAGTGAAAAAGGTTCGTGGGTAAAACTAAACTTGTTTGTCTGTACTGTTCAAAAGAGCTATTAACTAACCAATTTTGGTAAAAAAAATGTTCGTTAAAGTGGATTTGAACAATATATTATACTTTTGATAGTTCTTAGTATTGCATGATAGCAAACCCTAATAATACATCTTTAAATGGACGAAATATTTAAACTGATTGACGCTGGTTGTGTTGAAAGTGCATTATACCTTTGAAATACAGCTTTCTTTGTGTAGGTAAGAAAGGTATGAGCTTCATGGTGTTCTTATGGATTTAGAACATGCTTACACTCGAAACAAAACAGTATTAAATTGAAATAATTTATGATAAAGATAGGTAAATTTTAACAAAGAGGATTTTTGACTTCCATACAAATACTTATTAACTGTTAATGTACTATATATGGAAACGCAAACAAAAAAGCAAGCAAAAGATAACTCCGGTATTTGAATAATGAGTACCATTTTTTAGAAACTGTACCAGGACATTAAAATCATCTTTTGACAAATAAAACTTTAGATATTGAAGGCTTTATTTGCTGAAGCCTGTGCTGGGAGGCGGCGTGGACGGTAGCTTCTAATCATGTCATCACAACTATCGTCCATGAACATGCTAAATCAAACCGAATCTGCAATATTTACAGTTTTGATGTATTAGGCTTTCTTTTGTTTTTCTCTATTTTATGACCCGTTTAAATGTGTTCTGAAGTTTTGTTCGTCGCTTTGGTTTCTTCACTGCGATTGTTCAGAATGATTACAAGATAAAATATAATTTTTTTTGTATTATTTCAGGGCAATCTGAAATGTTGACTAAAATCATCCACATTTCAATTTGTAAAAGAAAAAAATTGGCTGACATGGGATACGTTCATACAAATCAAACATTTAGATTGTTGGAGACTGATTTCATTCTTGAAAAGGCAAGGGCTTTTATTTGTATCAGTTATAATAAGAAGTTACTTTAATTTCAGGAATCAAATAAATTAAAGGCACATTACTAAATAGACATTTTACATATTTTCTTTATTACACAAGTTTAACATTACACAGGTCAGTTGAAACCTATTTGAACGTTATTTTCATTTACAATTTGTATCATATTCCATCCTGGAAACACATGACTGTAAAATGAAATCGAATTTGTAAAATCTTTTGTACACTTTTGTCATATATCAAATATTGCACTGAACATGGCTATTTTCTACATAAGTCGAATACAATAACCTATATTTTAACAGGAGGCAGATACAAATTGTCCCAAGTTCAACGAAGCAACGGTGTCTCAGGGAGCGACTCACTGTTTCTATAACCCAAGAGGTAAATAATCTTTATTCAAGGTTGAAATCTATCTAAAATAATACATTTTTTAAATTTCGGGTTTAATTTTTGTTTGTCAGTTAAAGTTATATTTTATAAATATGTATAAATATTTTGCCGTCCGCCTAATAAAACCAAGCAGTCTGCACTTTTATTAACCTTTTTATCAGTATGGTTGTAAATCTTATCAAATATTGTTTAGAAAATATAATTCTAGAAGGAAAATCAAACGGCAAAAAAGTTTGAATACGAATTTTAACAAGCAAAATGAAAAATGTGTATGTGTTACGACACAGTCTTAGATATTTAAAAAATCAATAGTTTTAAAAAGGAAATATAGTATTTTCCCATGTAATCAACTTTTACCGATATCCTTTCGCGGTAATAAGGCTTCGTTTTACAAGGGTTTTCAACGAAACATCCGTCATATAATGCGGCAAAATACCTTTTAATGTGGACTTCTATGATAGATTTTCTGTTGATGTACGGATGTCCCATAGGTGGAGTTTCACATGTAAATAGGAAATGTACTCTCTATTTCGCCACAATGAAGTTACTGATTAATAAGTTTATAAAGTGATTTTGGTCGTCTCGACGCAAAAATAAGAACGGGGTCGCTATCAATCCCATTTTATTCAATAATTGTAGCTATGTCTGTTTTAATGAAATTGATAAAATGCAGCTTGGAATACAATAAGTATCTAATTAATTTAAAAGTATAAATAATTGTCATATATCTTAAACTTGCTAAAAACTATATAAAATTTGTCGTGATCGATCAATTTCAACTATACAATTTTTGCAAGTGTTTATAAAAAGAAAAAGAAACATATCTTAGTTTAACAATGTTCAATGACAAATTTTAAAAGTTAATTTTATCATGTATTCTTTATAGCTATTTAGTTGTGATTTAGCATTTCTTGTATAGGCCCATTTTCGATTTTTTAGTCTCTGATTGGTCAATCTCTACACTCGATATTAAAATACATATTCCCACATGTGGATATGTTTTTGTTGCAATATAATACATATAATATAAGAAATATGAATAAATGAATTACACTTTATCATTTTTGGCGGTTTTGACACCATGTAAACTATTTCAATGATTCATGTTATGTCTTTTCACTAAGCTAGTAAGCATACATTATTAGGAAGATGAACATTTGATTATGGCACAGTGCATTTATTTTGATTGCCATTTAGATTTGAATGCATCTGTTTCCTATATGATTATTAAATATTATTAATGCAGCCCCCACGAAAAACTTTTTATTTTTTGTTTTTCATTACGAAGTAGAGTTGAACTTAATAGATATAGGTTCATTCAATACATTTTTTCCATGATTCTTTAGCTAGGGTTGGATTTGTTCCCAATCTTTTTTCCGCTTTAAATGTTTCTGTTGTCATATTCTTACAAAATACCAAGTTAAAGGAAATCTATTGAACAGTTTTAACTTTGCACACATGTCTTTATGAAAACATCCAGAAACGTTCTTAATAAAAAGAAAGTTCAAATTATAAATGTACATGTATTTTAAAATCTGACATTCCCATATTATATCAGTAACATTCATACCAAGGGTCATGACTTTGGGTTAAAGTAATTCCTGTTTTAAAAACCGTTTTAATTTTCCTAATTTTAATACATGTATATTGTTAACAATGTTTGAGACGCTTAGATCGTAAATGGCGGCTTCGTACAAAAATCAAAGTAGCATTATTATTAGTATAGTTAAATTGCTGAAATATTTAAATCGAAATACACACGTATAAAAGCTATAAATATTATCTCATATCGCAATTCTGAGTACAAAAAACATAAGTATACCAAAAGTGAAAAAGTTTGTTGTAGAATTATTTTGAAAAACTACTACTAGTATTATATGTCAGCATTATATTGCGAAATACACTATACTTTTGAATTTTGCTAAGGTTAAATTAACATAGATTCTACTGTTATGACAGATTAGTTTCCAAAACAGTTGTCCTTGATATCGCGACTTGTTTGATTGCTATGATAGATCTTATATTTTTTGCATTTGGACTTAGGAAGTGACCATGAAGGCCATAGTCCCGAGTGGTAAATTTTTCACCCAAAACGACAAAGCGGTGTTAAATATCCGTTAAACATTGTATTTCGTCCAATACTTTTCGATTCTAACAGGATAAAATAAAGAAGGTCGCTGACGCTATTTTTGAAGCGAATATTATTTACACTGCCGATTTTACAATTTGATTGTTCTTGTCTAAATCTTACTGAAGCATAACAAGTAAACAATAATTATTTAAAAAATCAACTTTTCAACAGACTTGATTGTATTTTATTCACATCAATGCTTTATCTTACCTCGATCAGTAGTCGCTTACTTCTATACAGGCTGGCTTTTATATCTCGACCAACGAATAGTCTAAGATTCTTTAAATATTAATTATATTAACGGATATGAACAAAATCCTATGTGAGACGATTTTTAACCATTAGATGAACTATTTACAATTATTTGAAAAGAAAACATATTCAAGATTTCCGTACTTACAGTTCAAATGTATTTTCTTTTATTTTAATTGTTAGCAATCCAAAGTATTGACTATGAAACGGCAACAGGTATGTATTCTTATTATACATCTTCTTTAAAGTATTTTCAGTAAAACATGAAATTAAATATTGTCATCTATATATAAAGCACTATTATTAAATGTTTAATATTAGTTAGTTCTCAGTTTGAAAAAATATTTTCAGAGTATTAAAAGTTTACCTTTGCAGTTTACCTTTGCAATCATTTATTTAATCAAATTTGTATGTACAGTATTTTAATGAACGACTTTCTAACAAAATACATTAATCAGACATTCAAATTCAAAGAAATACAAAATGATGTACAAAATGATATACTGGAGAATACTGTAACGGTAATTATGAACAAAAATAAAGACACTAATAAGATCCAGAATTGAAATCATTCTTAAATTTAATTTTAAATTTTATTTGCCTAACGTTTATTTTCAGAGTTGATTCTTAATCAACGAACCCTCTACAAACTGCATCAAGGTAAGACTTAACTTCATGTGTTGAAGACACACATGATATACATTTGCAGGATTTATTACACGTGTAACGGCCCTGATATATACGTATTACTGAACTTTCCAATCTTTGTTCTAAGATAGTTACGAAATTATTAAATAATCAAAGGCAGTAAAATTACTCATGTACTTCTTCTAGACGTTTGTCATTTTATAGGCATATTTAACTAAATCTCAGATAGAAAACTGTATGCAAAGTGTTGTTTGATTTATTTCAGATAATGATTTTGAATGGTATTTCATTGACTGTAAGCGTTCACTTGAGGTAGTTATGATTGACATCAAGTCTTCACATTTGGTGAGAATGTTTTATATATATTTAATATAGAACCAACTTAAAAATTCGTTTTACCCCTTTTATTGAAGATAAATTGATAAAAAATATATTTGGCAAGTCCGTTAGTGCCGAATTCTCCATGACAAGTTTAATAACTCATAGAAACATAGCTATGTTTCAAGCCTGTAGTAATACATACCGTTTATAAATGCATACCATTTAAACAGTTATTTAAAAACTTCATTAAAAAGTGCACAAATGGCATAAAACTATTACATAAATGCCGTAACAACGATGAAGAAAGCGACCCATGTCAAGCGGCTTAACTGATGTCGAAGCACATTTCTCAACAATCAATACGCTTCAAATGATGTTATCCAAATATTTATTGAAAATTGTTCTTTGAATATTTCCCGGTCAGTTCTCTGTTGAATTCAATGGTGGCGGGCATCAGTCTTTTGTTTGACTTATCGTCCTAATTATCCTATTTTATCTGTTGAAAGTAGGGTAAATCGGGAATAAGGCACAAATAAGTAGTAGGGACTATTACAAAATCAACCCTCATCTTGGGAGTGTTTGTAGTGCGTGCTTGGAATGTGACATGGCGTCAAGCGATCTATTTTGATTGCTAGAAGAGTTCCAGTCGTTTCTGTTTATTCTCACAGAAGGGAGAGTATATAGTCGCCGCATTGTAAGTCTGTCCTTCCTTCATTCCTTCCGTGCGTCCTTTCACCCGTCCGTCCTTCTGTCAGTCACACTCTTGTCCGGCGAATAACTTAAAATACATTGAAGAAATATAATTTAAAGTGAATTGGTTCACAATGTAATGTATGTTACAAGTATTCAATGAATAATTACTTTGATAGTATTTTTATCACACATAGCAAGAAACCACGAAATAATTATACTGTGTTTTTTGGCAAGTTTGAGATGCATGATCTGACATTATATATACGTATATAGCAGATAATAAAATGTTCTAAAACAAAATATAATTATTCACCATGACTGTTAATATCAAATATTTTAGATTTTTATCTATATTTATTCATTTAAGCAATATTATAATATAAAAATATCCAAATATGATACATTTGTATATTTCTATCAATATTTGAAATACTTATGGACAATGTGCAAAGAGTAGACCAATTCATTTTAAACTTTATAAAGTGATAGGAACACTGAAAGAAAATGCAGTGTTAAGAAAAATCACTATATCTTGCTTAACTCTTAAGTAAGGTGAGTTTTCGTCATTTCCTTTGTTATTTATCATATAAACCAAAGAAGCTTAAAAAAGGCGAGCCATTACTTGATAAACGTGTTGTTATTTGTATCTTGTCATCAAATAATATCTAACTGAAACTGCACATGGTTATAGAAACTAGTCAAGCCAATTGCAGTATTAACAAAAACAATAACAATATTTTTAATTAAGCTCCCTTTATGATAATAAATATTCTTGCCCATTGAGAAACTAGAAAAGTATTGTAAGAATGTAATAAACACATCACACAGTGATAGAGACCAGGGAGAGGGTGACTGTTGTCCAAGATCTTTATTGCCTCCTATGATATTTTATTAATTCTCTTTTAAATCATAATACTTAATAATGCTTGTTACACTTTTGGTTAGCCGTTATTAATTGACCGATGTCTTTCAAGCCTTCCAACTAAAGCGTCATTGGTCAACATCAAGGGCAATGTTGCTCAAAAACACATTTTATCACATATCATTCGTTTAATTACTAATGTCATTCATATTTAGAAAGTAGATACTTTAGGAAGTCCTCTTACTTTATGAAGTTATCGAACAGTACAACACTAAGGTCGAGTTCCCCGATGCTAAAACTATTTTAAACACGTTTGCGTATTAAAAATAGCCTATATTAATAGACTGGTGTCTTACTTATTCAGTTGTCATACACTTGTTTGTCGTTTCCTTTCCGGCTAAAAAAGGGAACTAATGGCTAATCTGCTGTAATAACGAGGTCGAGTATGCTGTCGTCAAATAACTTCCCTGTGTTAATCGTACTTTAGAGACTAAGTTGAAAGTGGGAACACAATTCAGTTATCTTCACGTGTTGTTAATTTATGTTTTTTTTATAAATAAAAACAACATACGAGACATGTACAGCGTTTACTCACTTCTTCAACAGATCGTAAGTTTTTTCTCTAAAGCAAACCGATTTCCCCAATATTTGTTTCCCTCTGGCTGATACTTTTTCTACTGTCTTGTTTATGGCCCTGCCACTTGTAAACAAGTCCTAGCGAAACATTACTAAACTTCTTTGTATGGCGATTTCGTCAATAGAGATTTGCATAAAACTTGGTAACTGTTCGCTGCGCAAATCATATCTTTTTTGTTAACGTGTGAATTTGGTCAAATTAAATGACGTCAGCAGACCGGATAACGTTCACAAGATATTTAGCTAACACAACATCAGATATAAAAAGGTTTCGCCGTTCGAGGTATAAAATGCACGTGCTCAGGGAATTTACACATTTATATTTGTATGATATTTTTAACAATTATGAATCTTATCCTATGTTGAAGTTAGTGAATGGTAAATCAATTAAATAGATTTAACGTAGCACACCCCTATTGGACACTATAAGAAACTGAAAAATTGACAACATAGGACAGTTATAGGCCTTTAATGTCACATGTATGCAAAATTTAAACAAAATTTACCGTGTGGTTTATGAGTTATGGACATTTTTCTGAACTAAAACTGCACCATTAGAAGGACTATTTCAGAAAATAAATGAGAAAACTCTAAAAAGTCTTTAATATCATCTTTATGGAACATGTTTTCCTATTGCTTATTGTTAAGAAACAATTAAAGACATTCAGGTTACAAATTAAACTATCAAAATGATTGTTTCTAAACACAATGTTTTAAATATTTATAAAAATGTAACCCTACCCCACCCACTGTAAACACTTGTTTGACCATTTGCCTATGTAAAAAGCCTTATTTAAAATATCCCTTAAGTTTACCAAAATGAAGGACAATTTTCAAAGTTTGCCTAGTTTTTTTTAAATGTATATTGGTTTGTCTTGCAAAATATAAAATACTTTTACTGTGTAGTTTTTATTTTATTAAACTTTGAAACTATCTGGTATCATGTTTGCCATTAAATTTGGCATTTTCAGCAAATAAATACCTACAATAATTATATAATTAAAATCAAACACTTTTTTCTTCCATAAGGGATCTGACAGATACATAAAACATGTTTAAAAGACAAAAAAGGAAAAAGGTTGCCCCTTCTGGCCTCAGTTTCAATGCACTGGACAGTGATTCTAGCCACTGGACAGTGATTCTAGCCTATTTAAATACTCTTCAAAGTGGAGATAGTGCATTAGAGGTGTTCTACCTTAAGAACTTTTCTTCATATCTATTGTGTGCAAACTGTGTTTTATTTTTTTTTCCTATTTATGTGTTTTTTTTCTAAAGAACCGTAAAACTTAGTTTTTTTTATAATAATAATAATAATAATAATAATAATAATAATAATAATAATAATAATAATAAACAATTTGTAAAATAAATAAGATCAGCGTTTTCAAATTCATAGTACCTTAATGAATTAAACATTTATTAGTCTGTTGATTGCATGACTTTTATTGTGCTGAAATGTTTTCTTTCAGGGAAATACCTATTTCAAGTGTTTTGTTAGCGATGTTCCTGGGACATTAGAGGACCCTTCAGCTTGTAACACAGAAACTACCACTCTTCCAGGAAAAGTATATCTAAGGTAAATTTGTCGCAAGCCTTATTTATGTTATAATAAAAGTACCATTGTGTGATACTTTTCCTTGTTAAATTAATCAAACTGTTCATAAACTTGATGTAAGAAAATGGCAGATCTGCCATACTAATTTGTGGTCGTTTTATCAGAGATAATAAATATATATATTCTATCAAAACGACCGCACCATCAACTGAACCAGCATCACCATCTTTTAAAACCACTGCACTATTTATCAAAACCACAGAACAATCTCTAAAGGTATATAAAGCAATTGCATCCTAGATATGATCGCATGTCAGGTTCAACAAAATGTGTCATGTTCGCAAATCTTTGAATAAGATTTCGTTAGGTCTCTTACAATTTTTTAAAATGCGCTTTTTTAACATTTTTTGTTTTACCTTGACATTGCTGTATGAATAAGAGATCGTAAGATGATTTTAAAAATCTTTAGAAATATGCTTTTTAACTATTTTTATCCAATTTGACCAGATGAAATATTCGCTGATCTTTGAATGAGAGATAGTAAGATATGTTTCAATATCTTTGCTGTTTAATACGCTTCTGAACTATTTTGTTCAAACTTATTTTGGTAGAATACTGCAAACGAAATACATTTTGAAATGACCTATTAAATTGCAGGAGAACACGAGGTCGTTTTTTTACATTTGTATTGAATGAAACCATAACAGGCGACATGTCATTTCAGGTTTTCATATCGAGTATAGAAGCTCGTAAGTAAACTTTATAAAGGTAAAGAAAATAAATTCAGAAGAATATGTTTTGCTTATTTGCTTATATATCACCAATTATTACTTCTACATTTTCGATAGAAATAAGTATTTTAACATTTAAACTTCAACATAGCAAAGGAAATCCATAAAATTGCTGACTTCATGAGATTATCATTGAAACTATATTCTAATAATTTCATTAGTTGACATTTAAATATTCTAATATGGGAATAAATGATTTAAGTAAGTTTAGTTTTACGAATATCAGTCTTGTTTAGTTCGCTTGTTTCGAAGCTATAACCGTATTGAAACAATTTGGAATCCGTTCCTTGAACCAACCAGTTCTAAACAATGGATTTAAAGTTTCTTACTAACAGTAACAACGGCTTGCCACTTGCAATGTTTGACCCATGTGGAAAGTATTTCTTACATTGCCAGTCTTGTGTGTTAACCACTCGGCAACGCCGTCAGTAAGTTATTTGTGCACGTGCTCCAGTTTCTTGCTGAAAAGACATTTTCTTAGACTATGAAAACTCAAAGCATACTGTTTAATTCGGTATAAAATGGAACACTGGCGTTATCCTGGAATCTGAATATGTCACGTGAATGTCAATCAATACTCCATTTTCAATGATCTTTCAGTAATTATACAGTATAAATCATTAATTTTAACGGTTGCAAACCTTTTAACGACATTTATTTTTTTTATTTGAATATGTTTTGTTTGTGTAAGACTTGTAAGACATTTTCTAATGTTTTTTTCTGTAGAAAATGGTGAGGCATGCTTTGAGAGTATTGAATTAGACGACGACGAACAGGTACCAAAAAGTCAGCTCACTGTTTCTTCTGGAACCACAAAACGAATGCCTACAAATACAAACACTATTTTTACTGGTTGGATTCATGATGCTACAGATCCGACACCGTGGATTTTGGTTTGTATAATTCATGTCAAGAAATATTCTCTCATATTAGCAAAAACGAAAATGCATTGAAGAATAATTTAAATTGGGAGATATTATCTCTATGCATGTATTTTTAAACAAGTTTTAACATTTTCAAAGTGGAAGCATTAAGATATTATACTTCCTGCTGCTTAACCTGACTAGGAAAAAAATATTGTCTTATCTCCTGTCATGTATGATCAAATACTTATTTGATTTTATGATAAATTATGATTATATTAATGTCAATATCTTATCTATATGTCAAATATGCTATATACTTTTACTTAATAGTATGTGTATATGAACAACAGTAATCCAGATTTTCTTGGCAACTTGTAATCTCTATTTAATAGTTATTCATTTAATATTAAAACGGTTTTACCCCAAAAAGGTTCGTAAGAATATATAGTTAGGTATTGTTCTGATACCTTATTTGTAAATTCAAAACAATTCAGACTTATGTCAACAATATTAGTACAAATAATTTTAATCAATTTAGGTGGATTTAATTGCTGTAACAACAATAGAAGGAGTTGGTGTTTACGTTTCCAAAGAATGTGACATGTGGACCACTTTCAGTTTATATTTCGGCAACAATAAGGATAAACTACAGTTATACAAGGACATGGTATACTCGTTTGTGTAAACATATAAAATAATCTTATACAACCATTTTTAAGCAACATGTCTTCTAATTCATTTAACTTTTACGAACAAAAATGTTCTTAAGAGTAAAATATTGTCAAATGCCATAAGGAAGTTATTTACACATGTAAACAACATTAATTTATTTATTTCAGGAATTTAAAAACTTCCCACCTGAAAACTTGTGGAACATAAATCAAGTGTTTATTCTTCCAAAGCCAATCCAAGGAAGATACTTAAAACTCAAACACTCACACGAAACAAGCAAATCTAGATGTCTTAATTTCAAATTGTTCGGGTGTAAACTGACACGTAAGTTGGCAATGGATTGTAACAAAATTTCGATGGAAGAAATGCTTCACGTGTACACAATCAAAATCATGTATATAGAGTTACCTTGAAAATTCCAAGTAGAATCTTTACGATATATAAAGTGTTATATTTTGTTAAATTACCAATATATCATTTATCAGTTTAGAAATATTTCATCCCTCATTTTACAGGAATAACTGACATCCATAGCGACAAATCATCTGAAATGATGCCTCTTCTTGAACATGAATTGCTATCTGGAGATTCAACTGTCTTAAAAACAAATCTTACGAGATGTATCGAACTTTGCAGTATTCAGACCATTTGTAGAGTTGCCAGTTTTAAGGACCCGGCGAGACAGGACAACGGAATTTGTAATCACTACATGAATAGTCCGATTGGATTATGGAAAAGTGAGAATATAACCGATGATAGGCATTGTTTTGCCAAACTTCAAAACATTCGTACGTTAACATTTCTTTATAATTCTTTTTTAACAATAGAGGTTATTGATTCATACGCTGTTAGGAGTATAGATTCTTGTAAACAGCAGCTGCGACAAAAAATAATCAGCAGGTAGTATAAGTGTTATAATAACCAGAACTATATTATAGCTGCAGTGGTATTTTAACCAAATTTTGTATATTATAGATCTTAGTTATTTATTTGCACATATGCCTAATGAAGGTAAAAGCTGTAAACACCATTTAAATTTTCTAATAACGTCTTTGCTTTATTGATGTAAGTAAAGTATAAACGTTATCTACATTTTACATAAAATATGCAATTTATGGATTTTTTAAACGCACTGAAAGAAATTCCGAATTATCTAGTTGACTATGTAAGAATTTTAGTGATGTCGCGGCCAACTTTACTTTTGATTCTTAAATGGCTTCTTTTCAGAAAAGGCTATAAAGAAACGTACTAAAAGTAATATCGTCAATAAAATTAATGGTCTGCTTGTTTAGCTAGACTTGTCTAAAAAACTTTTCTTCATTATAAAGTGACAATTCATGAGAAATCCTTTGAGCTTCCATTTAAGCTTTTATCCATGTTATGTTTTTTCTTATTTTAAACAGTACACACGATATCGTTCCCTAGAGCTAAACACAAAGACGGATTATTCTTTGGCCACATACAGTATGTAGATACAGACTCAATTATAACTTCCTTAAGTTACCCCTTTAGGACAATTGTGAACAGTGATCTACAATGGATTGTAAACTTCAAACCACATCAATTTGCCAAAATGGTTTTCACAAACGTCACTTTATCAGAGGTAAACATTTATTGTATGACAAAAGATGCTTTATATGATGCGTTATGCGCTAATCATTTCTTTATAAAATATCCGAACATAATATTCGATTTATCAAATTTCCGAAATTAGTAAAGTGAACAGTCAAAATTGTACTATAACGGTAATTTTTTAGGAAGTATTCAGGAGTCATAATTAAAAATGTTCTAATTATCTGGAAAAATCTGATCCTTCTGAAGCATTAAAAACAGCAAAATTACATACAAATTGCAGACTCGATTTAATTAAATCTGTACATGAGAGATAATGAAAAGGTGCATCATTTCATAAGAGAAAACCATTCACCGATTTGGTTTTCTAGTTTATCTGCTCCTGAATATGACTGTTGTTGTGTTTGTTTTATTGGCAAATTTCGAGGGAAGATACGAAAAGTAAATAAAATCCATTATTCTTATTTTCATAAGCTAACTTCATCTTTAATATTTGTAGTTAGTGAAGGAAAATTTTTTCATGTTTTCTTATAGTTGCGACACTCATCGGAGAAAGATGGTTTTAAAAATGGTTTATGGTTTCAAAATAGTGTATCTTTAAAGAATTCAAAGTCACTCTAATGGTATTGAAAAAAAAGTAACAGAAATTGTTAAGGGTATTAAATTTGAATTTTAATATCATACATAAATAAACTGAAAACATGGAAAATGGAAAAAATGAGTTTTCAGACGTATCCTTACGTTACCTGCCTCTAAGATAACCCCAGTTGCAAATAAGTAAAAAACAAAACAAATGCACATGCAGAAAAGGAGATCGGTGACCCCTTAGTTTTCTGCTTGAAAAGTTTCTGTTATCATATTCTAACATCATGCCAAGTTTCAAGAAGATATGTTGAACATCTTTTATTCTGCACATATGTGTTTATCATTCTTCACGTCTGTTACGTCGATTTTCATTGGATATTTGTACAGTATTATGATATTAATTTTAAAGGTTTTTGACAGATGAATTGGTCTTTTGTTGCAGAGTTGCTAAGCTAGTGTTTCATTGCAAGCAACCGTTTTTATACGGCTACATAACCCCAAATTCTGTATACAAATTTATAATACAGCAAGCATCTTTTTTAGAGAAAAGAAATCTTCATTAACTGACAGCAACAGTGTTTAATTATAATTAGTTATAAAGATTTTTGACAGATAATATGGCCCTATATAAACGGTTGTTTGAAAATATAACCAGAGCCACTATGCGAGGGTTATTTTGAAAACAACCGTTTATATACGGTCATATAACCTGTCAGGAATATTTAAAACAAATTTATAATACAGCAAACCTCCTTTTTGAGAAAAAGGTGAGATTTCTTAGAAAATTGACAGCAGTCGTGTATATAAAACTATATAAACGTCACGATTATTCAATGAAAAGTGACGTTATAAACGTGCAGTATTATACAAATCTATATAAATGTTACATGTTACGATTATCTAATAAAAAGCAACGTTACAAGCGCACTGCAGTATTATTATGTTTGTATATATGATTATGTCATTTAAGACATCAAGTAAACAGGTTTCTTGATGTCAAAGAAAGAAAAGGATTGTACTCTATTAAAAACTGCATAATGTTTCAAGTTAAAGCATCAAAATATACATAAATGTTATCGGGCCCACCACACTACGTTGAAATCGAATCCACCGCCGTCTGAGATGTAATCAATGTTTGTCAATTCTTTAATGAAAAGGCAAAACATATTTCCAAAAATTCTAAAATAAGGTTGTTTTGTGCAAGTATGATATACATGATGTGATACTGGTGTATTTAATGGTAGTTTTGTACACATTTATACGTGCTATTACCAAAATGTAGCAAAAGTATCAAACTGTACAGAAGTGTTTGCATAAACGACAATGAATTGCATTGTGCACGAGTAATAAGTTGGAGAGCATATATGTCGGCTCAAGTTTCGCTAGTTTTTTTCTCAGTAAAACGTCAAAACCGACAACAGCAAACGGTCATATTTTACCCACAAATTCGGCGACGAAAACTCCACCGCTGAATTCTGTTATTTCAGTTATTTACTCGCATGTCTATAGACTATTCCATTTTTCTCTTTCGTTTATGTAAACCTGTATCAAGTATTTGCAACTATTTAAGTCGCTTAAGAGCTTAAAATCAGTTACTGGAATTTTTTTAAATGAACTGAATACTTTTCCATATTCAATCATCGTTGAATTTTCAAAATGAAATGTCAGGGTCTAATACAACCTATAAATCTTTTTATACCTTTCCAAGATTTATTTGTCCTTAAGTAAAGCACAGGAAACGAGTTTTGTGATGATATGTTATTTCTACAAGTACGCAAATCCTACAACACTTAAAAATTAATGTGTACACTTGTAGCTAAAATGTTTCTGGATTTGAAATACCAAAATTACAGTTCCCCAAAGGAATAATAATTTAAGGCTTAGTCAAGTGGATCTTATATTAGCTTTTATCATATAAGATGTTGGTACTAATGATGATACTGATCCTAGTGTAGAGGATGACATTATTGCAGCTGATAATGATTTAAGTTTTAATGATCGCAATCAATCTTCTGCTAGCATAATTTTGTCTGCTATTAGTCCTTGTCTTTTAGATATTGGTCACACACTACAAATTAAACCTTTATTAATTTGGGGTTGCTTATTTTGTATATTATTATGACGTTGAATGATAGTTGTAGATAATACTCTCTTTTCATTTAGTCAATTTTTACTGTCAAACTAGTGAGGTCATCAGTAGTCCTAGTACTCAGCCGATAGGAGTTTTTGAAAATTCAGGCTTAAAAGAAAAAATTTGAACAATAAGTTGTTTTATTTGAATCCGATACTTTCTAACTCTAATTTATCTAAATAATATTTCAGATATTTTTATCTAATATTTTTCTTGTGTTTTTTTTTTTGTCAAACGAAAACTTAGAATTTATTTAATTCATTTCTTTTTTTTCAAATTTGTTTAACCTATTACTAATAAAAGTTTTATTCGTTATCATCGTTTACTATGATTACCTTTGAAATAAAAAACATTGACTCGACCTTGCTCTTCTCTCGCCAGAAACGTTTTCAATATCTGAATATTTCCTAAATCTTGTATGTAATAATTATTGAAAACATGTACTAACCTTGATTCTGAATCTTTTTATAATATTGTTTATTCGAGCAGAGTGGTCTCGTTGTTAAAACATCGCAAAAGAACAACAATGAATTTATCATTGATGATAATTTCAACGACGAAGTATTTGTAATAGAAACAGACACAAGCTTGTTGTTTTTAACAACTACTCTAACAAGGGTATGGCCACCATCAATACGATTCCGGGCAATCATAACTGCTGAAGGTACACATTATTATTATAATTGTATCTAACATTAAATATTTCAATTCGATTTTGATTAGAATTCAACATTACACCCTTACTCTGTTTATCATATATCACGTCTTGAAAGGATTAGTCTTCATATTTTATAATTAAAAAATACATATGTACAATTGAGCAAGTAATTTGGAAAAATTATTCAAAACTTCCAGATTTTAAACAGGAGGCGATAAAAAATGTACTATAATGTTTGTTTTTCCTGACACATTATACAATTGGTAAGGCTAGCCTAATCATTAAAGTTTAATTTAGCACCTCAAACTCTTAAAAGATAAAAATGACTATTTTTCGACGTAATATCTAGGGCACACACCTTGATTGACATTTATTTTAATTACATGAATAATACCTAATATAACAACTGACTTCGTTTAAAAAAGTGTGAAAGCAGTTTAAAGTAATTTATGGTAAATGACTTTAAAACAAAAGGTTGTAGTGCGAAACAGAAAAATGAAGGGGTATTTGGGAAAAAAATTTTAAAATTATAAACCCGGGTAAAAAGGGATGTTTGAAAAAAATTTTCCTGCACATGCCCTGGGTTTCCAATTTTAATTAATATTTCGGGTATTTTCAAAAAAATTTTCACCAACTTTTTTATATGAGAAAAAGCATATTTGAATTTAAACCCCAAAAAAATTAAAATTAACGAAAATTAATTTTTTAAATTTTGGTTTTACAAAAGTACAAAAAGGTAAAAAAAACCTTGAAATATCACTTAACAATGTTTATTTTGTTTTTTTTCTTTATATTATTTTTCCCTTTTTTAAAAATATAACTGTAGATAACCTTCGCAGTAAATTTATTGCACTCAAGATACAATTCTTACAGATTCGAAGTTTGTTCTAATTTTATACATTTAATTATAAACAGTTCATTATGCGAGTGTTATAATGTGTAATTGCTGTAATATATTGTCAAAAAGACTAAATGGCATTGATATTTCCTTCAAGAAACCGCAGCTTGTCTTTCAATCGATTCACTTAGTCATTCAAAAAGAAACAAAAAACGAATTGAAGTTTGCACTGAGCCAACCATGATCCTTACAACTCTTTCGGCTTTAAATCTGTGCCAAGATTGTGAAGATGAGTTCACAATTCAAGCCGGGAAACATCAAAGCATTGATATTAACTTCATATATTGGGACGCATATTGTTTTCATGGTTAGTATATTCAAATCCTACCAACTTCAGATATATTTTTATTCTATGAATTATAAATAAGGTCTTATATAATGCTATTAAATGGATTACTTGTGTAATGTAATATAATGTAATGTAATGTAATGGTAATGATGGCCACCTGACAATCGTATATGTCGGATATTTATTTAACATATTTCAAGGAAATGAGCGGATGCCTCTTGCTATAAATTTTAATAAAAAATTAGTTTCTTAGTTACGAGCCTTCTAGTTATTAGTGTAGATACAATGTATCGGAGGGACTGAAGTACAAAATTGGTAACAAATAAATCTCAACAAGGCGAAAAATCAACCTTTTTGTCTTGCTCGACTGATCATGACTGTAATACCAATATTTAGGAAATTGTGTTGGTCTACGCTTGTAACACGAATGCGACCTTGTCAAATAATTCAAATAAAACAAGTGATAAAAATACATCATGCATGTTTAAGGTATAGAATTTGTACATCTGGAAATATCGTCAGATGACCAAGCGTGGATTCGACCGATTTATATTGCAACAAATATATGTGTGTGTGTGTGT